AATTAAAGGTTTTTTGGTATCTGCTAAGATATATATATATATATATATTTTATCGTTTAATCATTTAGATTAAAGATTATTTTTATCGTTGGTAATCATAATTTCGAAGATATTCAGTTAACAAGAAAAAAAAAGAGCAAGGGAGAATATTCTTCGAATTCCGTACGCGTTTATCGGTAGGAAATAACGTTCCTTACTTCTACAAAATAACTACTCGCTATAGATATTCCTTATACTTACTTCTATTCGAATTTATCCCCTGCGGGTTAAAACATCAACCTTATTTATAAAGTTTAAGTAAAATTGTTTATTACAAATTTTAAAAGATATATTATTAATAATTCTAACAAATATTTCTTACTTTGTTATTAAATAGTGTATTTTGAAATATGATTATTATACATTAAATTAAAATATTCGTTTTATGGTTTAAAACGTTATTTGATAATTTATAAAATGTAAGAGAAATATTTTAATATATGATATGATCAATAAATTATGCAAGGTATCTAAGATTTTATTGATCAAACGATAATCAGTTTATACAATTTACGAAAGATGTTGGATAGAAAGAAATTGTTTTTAAAAATGTATTATAAAATTTTTAACACGAATTGTGTGTTAGTGTGTAAGTAACATATATATATATATATATATTGAAAACTAAAAGAATAAAACTAAAAAAAAAAAAAAAATATTAATATATTCGATTATAAAAGTTTAATAAACTTTTCAAGTAAAATTAGCATTAGCTGTGGTAATTCATTTTTCTTTTCTCTTTCTTTTTTTATTATTACATTCCTTCTACTTTCATTTATCTTCTAGCTATTTTCTTAAGTTAAAAAAAAAAAATTCTTTTTTCCCTCTATCTCATCTTGATCTTACTATCTTACTTTTTCTTTTCTTTCTTTTCCTTTTTTTTTTGTTCTATCTTAACGGAAACGCAAACGTGAACGTGAACGTTCCGTTCTTTTACTCGAGACAAGAGGGTAAAACTTTTAACGTAACTTTCTTACCTTGCACCGACACATTTGCTATCTTCCTTTAACTAATACCACTTTCAAGAATAAAGATTTGCACCGAACTTTTAACATCATTCTACTTGTATCATGATATAGCTTCTTAGATAATGGAACTTAGAACGATTATTATTATTACTATTATTATTAGAAGTATAAGTTAGAAGAAGAAGAAGAAGAAGAAGGAGAAAAAGATAGAAAATGAAGAAAAAAATTAATTAGGTCAATCCTTAAATACTCATTTATTATACCAAAGTTATTTTATTTTTTTCAATCTTAACTCTTTAAACAAAAGTTAAATTTAAAATCACGTTATAATAATCTCTTTAAATTTAATATTAATTATATACAAATTTAACAAAATTAATTCATTTTAAAATAATCTTTTTTTGCGTGTGTAAAATAGTAATTACCAACAAAATTTTAATACAGAAAATACAAATCTGTGCAAATTTATGTAAAATCAAGAGAACCCGTTTCATTTACGCTTGTAATTTGAAATAATTTTTATTATAATTAAAGAAAAAAAAAAATTCGGAAAAAATTGTGTGATATAAAATAAAAAAAAAAATATTAAATATTTTTGTCATACTTTAACATTCATGAAAGATGAAAGATTATTTGTGGTTTTTTTTCTTCTATTTGTTTATTATCGATTTTATTTGATAATATTCAAGAGACTGCACTTTCTAACGCTACGTAAGGTCACGAATTAAAAGACCAATCGCAAATTAGTATCAAGTACAACCTGTTGCACTCTCGTTCTCATTCGTTTCGTTTCGTTTCGTTTGAGTGAAAGAGAGAGAGAGAAACGGACTTTGGTTTTAAAAGCTACGAGGATTGATTTTTCTCGAGAGATTACTCGACTGTACGTATCCAAACCTTCCCCCCCCCCACCACTGCCACCACCACCTTCTCCCTCTCTCTCTTTTATTATCTTTTTTTATCTATCTATCTATCTGTCTATTTGTCTATCCATTCGTTTTTTCTTCCCTTTCCTTTTCTTTTTTTTGGTTTTTTTTTTTGAATTTTTTATATTTTTTTTTTCACATTCCTCTTACTATCACGTAGTGACGAGTAACGAGATGCTCGTTAGGCAACTAACGAATTGTTTGGACACAATCCAAACGTTGGATCTCTGGCAAATTTGATTAATATATTTTTTACCATTAGGGATATAGCGAATCTCTAATCATTTTTACTCTTTAAAAAATTCTAATCACTCTTTTTGGTTTTTTTTTTGTTATTTTTAAACCTTTGACTGCCATGAACGCATATATGCGCATGGTAGAAGTTGTTAACGTGTATGTATCATCGACATAAAATGAAATTTTTTTCTAATTGGATAGTGAACAATATATACTTTTTATTTATTTAGAAATGAATAATATATATTTTGTGCGTTTTTACGAAATTTTTGTACAAATTACAGGACTTGGTTATTTTTTAAATTGTTATGATACGTCTAGTGTTAATGACAATAGCAAAAAAAAAGAAAGATAAATGACACGACGTAATTTAATAATAATATTCTAATTTTATAAAAAAGAAATAAAAAATACAATATACTAATATTTAAAGCAATTGTTTGTGATCATTTTTATCATTTATTACTGCTGACATAATAAAAAATAATGTAATTCTAATTTAAAGTCATTCATTACTTTATCATCATCTTTCGTTTAAATATAAAAACAAAAAAGAAATACTAAATTTGATTTAATCACATTAATTATTATTATTATTATTATTATTATTATTATTATTATTATTATTATTATTATTATTATTATTATTATTATTATTATTATTATTATTATTNTATTATTATTATTATTATTATTATTATTATTACGGATAATATAATAAATCGATTAATTAATTATACGTATTATTGATATAGATGTATATCTATTTAATTATATTCACCCATTTTATCGATCAAGTATATTATTATATATTCAATCTAATTAATATAAATCGTTTAAATTAACTAATGAATATTATATCTAAAAAGATTATATAAAAATCAAATTGTATACACTAATTATTGTAAGAATTAACAATTTTCAAAATACTTACTAAACAAAGCGTGTCTCATACAGATCGTTCGGAAAATAAAACGAAATAAATTCGACCAGAAAATGTTGACGTTTTGATTTGTCATTTCTGAAAAAAAAAAGAAAAAACCTACACGACAAATCGAAATGCAATAAAACATTTCAACCCTTTGCACTTTTGAATATTACTTAGATTTTGTTAGCATCAATTCCTACCCCCCGTATTAAACAATTTTAAATGTTTTATTTGAAAATTACTTTAACTAAAGAAAAAAAAAATAAAATAAGACAATTTAAAATGAGTAAAAAGGTAAAAAAGAGCAAAATCAATTAGATATCAGTGTTATTGTTTTTTATTTACATTATCATTGTATTTTGTAATTATCGAGCGTATGATATCTCTTGAGATAAAAATCAATGTCAAGTTACGTTCGACGTATAAAATGTAATGAGTTATATTATGTCCAAACTGTATCTATGTTTATAAAATATCAATTGATTTGATACGTTGAAAGAGTAAAATTTTGCTAATCGATAAAAACGATTAACTAATTGTTTCAACATATAAATGAAATTACTTTCCGAACGATTCAATTTAATATATTTATACATATATAATATGTTAGAGTATAGTATACTGTATAATATATTAGTTATATAGTATACAGTTATAATATATTTATGTTACTGCAAAAGACCGAAATTGGCTAATGTCAAGATTCGCATGGTGAATTATAAACACATATCTAATAATGTTGGTGAAAGATCGAACATTTAGTTTTATTCTTATAACTGCTTAATATTTACATACACTAAACGGTCACGTATAATGCTTGTCATATTACCCAATTTTATTTTAATACGGTAATAAGGTAATACGGTATAATAATGTACACATTAAAATAATTCTAGATTAAATAAATAATCATTCTATTCGAACTACATAAGTTCTTATCACTCGTATATAGTATATAATGCTATCTTATTTGATACATGTAACGTTGAAGTAACGTTCTTTTATCTACATTTCGATAGGAATGGAAGAATCGATAAAGAATTTTATTCGGGTGTATGTTATACACGTCCTAGTTCTATTACGCTCGTCCCAGCACTATATCGATTAGCACTACCGGGTGTCTACGATATACACACTCACTCGTACACACGTATATACATATATATGTTGTATGTAAACCTGGTGTTGCTGTTGGTACTGCAATTGGAACGAGAGACTCTTTTCCCTCGACGAGAATGAATAAGAGAGAAAGAGATAGACTCACGATAAACACACAAAACGATCCTGACCAGTACTCTACGATTTATTACACACGCGTGAATATTAAACGGAATATCGAACATTTATCATCCTACATAACATATCTTTCATACACACATGCACATACATTTATATATATATAGATGTTTTTTTATACCATTTTTTACACGTTTACATAATCCTAAATCAAGAAATTCTTGTATCTTTTAATATCTTATATAATACATATAATAAATAAAACTTAACTAACATATAAGATATTTTTAAATTAGTTAATTATCTAAAAATGACAAGAATTTAATAATATTTGTATATACGTCTAACTCGTTTATATTTCTACATATAATTTATATTTCTAATCAATCAGATAATCAATATTTCTACAAGAAATTGATTATCGTATATAATAATTAAATATTATATATATATATATATATATATATATATATATATATATATATATATATATATATATATTTTTATTAACACACTAGTGATCGGTTTTTTCAAACGATACGTTTTTTAGTTTGACATAGAATTATTTGAAATATAAACAATATTATTGAACGAAAAAGAACAATAATATTACAATCGAAAATTAAAGTAATCATTTGATAATCAAATGAACAATATAAAGTTGTATATTTAATAACGTAGAATTACGTCAGTAACATTTGATTATAAAATTTTGAAATAACGTATGAAAACGTTACATGGAATTGCATTACTGATTTCATATGTGTTAAATGACTTAAACGATAATATTTTTTTTGTAAGCAACATCCTGAGGATCAACAACAAACATTCCTTCCGCATAAGGACTAGTTGATTTAGTTTTAACGAGATGAAATCCTTTAAATTTCCTATTAACCCGATCCCCAGCTAAAACAGCAGGATATCTCGGTGGGCACAGACCCAAAAGGTAGGAAAAAAAACCTGGACAAGGCCAACCCCAAAAACCATTATTCGAGTTAATGGATTCGGCAAAATATTCAGCGGATCGATGATGATTACAACCGAACGGATTTCCGTTTTCCCAACAACCGGGTTGATTAATACCACCGTTCATATAAAAATCAATATGACCGCATGGCTCAACTTTGCCTTGAATAAAAGCATTAGTATGATATACGTCAACGAAATTAGCATCCGTAGGATCTAATTTCTCTTGTGCATTAGCCGTTACGAATAACGGCATTGCTGGATCCAATCCAGTTATCCTGTCCAATTGATAAGGTTTAAGATAATTAGCTGAGAATGCAGGCACGTGTGCTCCCAAACTGAACCCAATGACGTGTAAATCCTTGGCACCGTGAAACTCTAATCTTCGTATTAATTGTGCGAGACATTCGCCAACGTGTTGAACATTGTGAACAGCTATCGGATAACATGGTCCAACTGCTAACCTATGCCAGTCGATGGCAATCAAATTGTATTCGCCTTTTTTCAAATATTCATCTCTAACATCTATCAAACTACTCAATTGCATATCAGAATTATAACCGTGAACTATGATCTTTGTTGGATTAGATGAATCGAAGTTAGTGTCGTCTAGATTCGAATCGGTATCTGATACAACTATACGTTGTCCTTTATATAGATTTTTTCTAGTATATAAAAAGAACGTCACTTCGTCGTCTGGACAGGTTTGATTGGTGTTCACTAAACAAGGTCCTATGAAGTAATCCTTGCTAATGTCATTGTCAACATTACCGACCACTATATTGTTATAGTCTTGGACAGCTTCGATCTTATTAATTGACACGATTAAAAACAATACTGTAATTGTTAACAATGTGTTCATTAGATTATATCTATTTTTTGTTGTATTAACAGTAGTGGTATTCTCGTGAGACGTCATCTTCCAAGATTTTCTTCTCATTGATCCAAGTTTCTTCAAACTTGAGAAGAAAAAGAAAAAGAAAAAGAGGAAGAAGAAATTGCTGCTGTTGTTGTTGTTGATACTACTGAAGACTTCTCCAGTTATATATCCTCCCCCTTCTTCTTCTTCTTCGTTAATGTTGTTTTTATTCTTTTTCTTCTTTAGCTTTTCTTCTTCTTCTTCTTCTTCTTCAACCTTCTTCTTATTATTTTTAGCTTGATCTTTCTTCTTATTCTTCGTGTTGTCCTCTTTGAAATGTAAGAAGAGTAACAGAGATGGTAGCAAGTGTAAGACTTTGTCGTACGAGCTTCGCGACGAAACTGTCCACAGTGAAACGTGTTGTTCCTTGTAACTGCTCAGGGAAACTTCACGATGGATAATCACGTATCGAGCGCACCTCCACAACGAGCTTCGAATCCCTAAAGAGAGGTACAACAACACACCGATACCGAGACATCTACGACTTTTTAAAAGGACGATGGTCGAACCGATCAGTTTCTATGTATAGGTTTGTTTGTTGTGCATATGTGTGTGCGTATACAGTGCTCAACAAAATAAATTATTGGATTTAATTATTAGATTTTATTCTTATTTATATTTTTCAGTTAATCTGTTAAATATATATGATTTATATCGTTTTATGTATATATATTTTTGTTTCAATATTATATTTGAGTACATTGTTTGGAAATTGATTTGACGTATATTAATATTTTTTGTTCTTTTTTAATTAATTCAAAGTAGTTTGTAATTAAAAACTTATGCATTTTATATGCATATTTTTAATTGATTTTAAATTTAATTCCGGAGAATATCAAGTTTAAGTATACTACACGGTGATTGAGTAGACTAATATTTTTTTCTTATGTACATTTGTTTTTAACTATTTAGTTATTTTTATTAAAATATTTAAATATATACATATAGACACGTTAAAAGTCATTGTAATTTATGCCAATAATAAAATTCGTCACTGTATATACATACTTCATATATATAGTACATATATAAATATTTGAATCTATAAGGCGATTCGATTATAATTATCTAAATTTATATTTTATTTTTACACAAAAAAAAGAAAATAAAAATTTATTAAACTAAATTTACATTTTAAATAAATGAGATCTATTGAAAAGCCAAGAATTCATATCGAGACTAAAAATGTATCAAATTCTTATCAGATATCTAATATCAAAGATAGAAAATCTTATCTTTGAATTAATTTTTATATAAAAAACTTATATATATATATTGAACAAATATTAACGTTTAATATAACATATCAAATAATAATTGAATCATCCTATATATATGAACTTCCATATACACTGTGATACGTAATGCGTGAAAGTGACGTATGTGAGTATGGGTCATATACGTCTCTCTCAGTGGATACTAACTAATGTAAGATAGTATGGTTCGATAAAGAACACGTGATGTAGGTATATCACAATTGACAATGATTATGACCGTGACAGGATGAACAATAAATTAATTCTCGGAATTGTTTTTCTACCAACGTTGACAAATAAAACGTTTAAAAAAAATATTATGCTTAAATTAATCTTTTTTTTTTTTTAAATGACGATCGATTGGAGGAAGAAAAAATGTTGAACGAATGAAATGAAAAAAAAGAATAAACGAAGTAAGAAACAATGAAGGAAAAAAAAATGTTATTAACGGGCCAGGAATGAATCCTCGTTACGTTTAACGATCCGTTTCATTTTCTCCATTCCCGTTTGTAGATCGAAATTGGTGCGGTTACGAAATCGCTTGTTGGAAATGGTAATGAGATGCATTTGAAAGAGCGTTTGCGGTTAGAAAGAGAGTAGTCGCACTAGGGAACTGGCCAATTAGAAGTCGATGTCTTTGATTTACACTGCGGACAAGACAATCTCGTTCGCGTGACTAACTATACTAACATCAAAGCTTACTTTGAATAATGCGATAACTATTTTACTTTCCTTAGATATGTTGTCCAAGTGTTATACATCTGTTAATAGATATATGTGTTCAAAAAACAAATTTAAAAAAAAAATTTATTCTTTTAGTAAAAAGTTCATTTGTTTATAAATAATAATTAATTAATTTTTATACAATTTTATTAATCAAATCTGATCCGAATTTTTTTTTTTTTTTTGAAAAAAAACTTCAAATAAATTTGTTTATATTAAATTGTTTATAACAAATTATTTTTTAATTATTAACAATACATTTAAAAAAAATAAAGAATAATTTACGCTTTATAACAATGTTTTTATCAAATCTCTACGATTATTAGTTCTGGAGATATCACTACGTGAGTGAAAGATGAGAATTGTTTATTTATTAAAAAAGTAATTTTTGTTGTTAATTATGTATTAATTTATGTAATTTTAATTATCGATTACACGATTTGAATGTTTTGTCTATCAAAATAGAATGGATATAGTTTGAATGAATTTATTTTAGATAATTGTTTATAAAAAATTGGTAATTTATTATTAACAATATGCTTAAAATATAAATAATTTCTTCTCTTTAAAATGGTGTATTGATCAAGTCTCTACGACTTGTAGTTTTTGAGATATTTCTATATAAATGAAATAGGTTTACGTTGACACACTAACCTACATAATTTCATTCAAAGTGGGTCAATGAAACACTGACCTATATAAATTCCAAGAATTTACGCACGCTTACTACTATTACTACTATTACTATTACGACGAATAATCGTGAATGAATTATAAATGAAAATCTTTTTTTCCTCATATCTTTGGAACGAAAAATCGTATAGACTTGATAAAAGAATCATTTTAAAGCATTAATTATCTTTTATTTATTTAAATAATCTTATCATATTGTTATAATAAAATCAATATTGTTAATAGTTTTTTTTAATCGAATTTTCCTCTCCCCTTTTTTATCATTTTGCTATAAAGATATAATTATAATGAAATCATTGGAATTTTTGTTACGATAACGTTAAATTTAATTTGTTTAATTAAAAAAAAAAATTAAATTACCAATATAAGAAAATTGAAAATTGTAAAAATTTTTTCTGGTAATAGGAATAAATCTACGATGTAATAATTAAATTCGTGTACTAATTTATCACCATTCTGTCGGTTTCTCTTTGTTCTTCTAATCATACGTTTTAACTATATATAAATCGAGCCACATATAGGCTCATAATCCTGATTAACATGAAAGCTTATTATCGTGCAATTATCAACACACCTAATCGTGTACAATAGGTCTATGCATACTACGATGATGATAATCCTAATTAAAGATGAAAGCTTTATTATTCGACAATTAGTATCTATTCTTCTATTCTAGATTAGAAAATAGTTTGATGAAAAAAAATACAACAAAATATTTAACAAGATAATTAATAAAACGACAGTTGTTAGAAATACGTTAATAATTTTAATAAAAAGTCAGAAACGAGCAGCCAATGATGTTCGAGATGATTGTAAGAAAAATATAATTTTAATCCATTAAAAATTTATCCTTTAAATTCAATATTTAAAATAAATAAAATTTTAATACAATGAGACGACTATTTATTAATTATGAACGATTATTAATGATTATTCCTGTATTTGTTTTAAAAGTAAAAAATTCGTGAAAGTGGATATCAAATGAAAGAGAAAGAAAGAGAAAGAGAGAGAGATAAAGAAACGTGCCGACAATGTTGGTGAAACTTGTCTCTGCGTTTTCATCGGCTAGGACAATGGCTCTAAACTTTCGCGGTGCTACGTTTGGTGAATTTCGATTAGTTTTAAAAACACTTTTACATTCAAACAAACGTCCTAATTACGTTCACTACCAAGTAATTATCGCTATGAGAAAGTCTATTGACCTACATTATGGCACACTTTATTTTGAATCATTTTCGATTTTTATCAACAATCATAAATATTTTTTTCTTTTTTTATATCTTCAATTTTACAAACAAACATTTCTGATGTATTTTTACGATCTGTCGAATATTTATCCAAATATTAAATATTTTGCTTTTAAATCATATTAATAATAAATCATAATAATCTATATAACTCTCGGCTATATGTTTTTTTTCTATTTTATAAATATAAAATCTAGAAAAATAATATTATGAGAAATCATTAGAGATTTTTATTCGAGTTAAATAGTAATTACTGACTAGAAAAATATTTACAAAAGAAATAAAAAAAATAAAATAGAAAGAAAGAAGATAAAGAAAAAGTAAAACTCGGAGTATACAAAAAGTTTATAATACTTTTGCGTATGAATATCACATTCACAAAAGGAATTTTGTGAAACTCCAGGTTAGTTAATTGCCGTGCAACCAATGCTACCTAAATTATACCGTATTATTGCATTGTTTAAACGAAAGAAGCATCGATGCGAGTTAACGTGCGTTTCCGCATTCGAAATTATTTCGATACCCGTTTAGTTGAGATTGTTAAACATCCATAATAACTTCGTTGATAACAATTTTCGAAACTGGTTCTATTTAATGAAAGGAATTTTATATTATTTGCTCTTCGGCGAGAACGTTTATTCGAAAATTATTCAACGATAATAAAAAAAAAAGAAAAACCTAAAACCAAACAAAAAGTAAAAATGTATTAAAACAAATATGATGAAAAGAAAAAAAAGAGAGAAAAGTACTGTAACGAAGAAATGAGACCAAAATGATATTTAAATCCAATCATATAAGTAACTTCCGTATTATTTTTTATCAGACATTTATTTTGTTTTCATTAAATGACAACTTTTATATTAATTTATTATATATGGTATTCACCACTAATTAAGTAAGCTGTATCGTAAGTTACTTATGACTCTGAATCTAAGAATAAAAGAATAATAAAAGAACAATAAAAGAAAAAAAAGTAAAAACAGAAAAATACAAAATTTGTTTTACCATGATTGTTTTACCAATAGTCGTTGGTATTGGTTGGTTGAAAATTTGTAATTCGTTCTCGAGGGTTGATCGATTTAGAAAAAAATAGAAGATATATATAATATACCTACATATCTATATCTATATATATATATATATATATATATATATATATATATATATATATATTATATAGAATATTTATCATTATTATATTTATTATTATATATACATAAAAATAGAAGAAAAACGATAATAGGAGAAATAAATAAAAGAGACGAAGAAGGCGAAAAAAAGAAAGAAAAAGAAGAGGGGGAGGGGAAATGTGTTGAAGGAGAAGGATTACAAGGAAGGGAGGGGGAAGAGAAGTTGGTAAGAGAAAGATGTACGACGTGACCGAAGCAAGCCGCCTCGAATGCCGAAGGGAACGTTTCGTGTAGATTAAAAGACAGCGCCCTACGGCCTTAATTTCCGTCCTACGAATAATTCAAGCATTTTCTATTTCTCTCTCTCTCTTTCTTTTTCTATTTTTCTCATACAAACATATACCCTCTTACTATTTCGTACTCTCTCATTCATTCATTCATTCACTCATTTACTCTCTCTCTCTCTTTCTCTCTTCTACTTTCTCGTACTCTCTCATTTATTTCTTATGTCTCTCTCTCTCTTTCTCTTTTCTACTTTCTCGTACTCTCTCATTTATTTCTTATGTCTCTCTCTCTCTCTCTCTCTTCCTAATTCTCTGTCATTTATTCTCTTTATTAATTCTCTTTATCGTCTTCTTCTACTCCCTCATTCTCTGACTCTTTCACTCTCTCATATATTATTTCTTACTTTCTCTCTCTACTTTTCTCATTCTTTTTTATACACACAACTTTTTCACACACATTCTCTCTCTCTTTCTTTCTTTCTTTCTTTCTTTTTCTCACCTTCATTCATACTTTCTTTCATATATTTCTTTTTATAATTTTGTATTTTATTTTTACTTTTTTTTTTTTTTTAGTTTAGTTCATTTTCTCTCTCCGTTCGTTATTTGTTTGTTCTGTTTTGTTTGGTTTTGTTATTTTTCTATAATATTGTTTATATAAAGAAGGGATATCAACAATTTGATAAATTTGAAGGGTGTGTGAGGGGAGAAGAGGAGAAGTTCTCTTCTCAAGTTTACACTCGTCGTAGACGCGAAACTCTAATAAATCTTGCAACGTCCTACCCGTTATCAAGTCTACTTCGCTCCATTAAATCGGAGTACTACGACACAGCAACTTTCTCAAAACCCTCTAACCCCACCCCTATATCTTCCTCATTCCTCTCTCTTTATCTTAGGTAGATGAACGTCGAATAGAGATTTGAAATTTTCCCGCATTAACCTACGTAAACTTTTGGTGACTTAACATGGAATGACTAAACTTTTTTTTCTTAATTAATTCTCTAATTAAATTCTATCTCCCACAATTTTATATTCTATATATATGTGTATATGTGTGCGTGTATATATGCGAGAAGAATAATTATTATGATTTATCATGCAAATGATTCGAAATTAAATATGAAAATATTAACAAACGAATATATCAGGTCTGTCAATTATCGTTTGTTCATTCATATTCTTTATTTATTAATTAAATAATATTTCAAAATAAAATTCTTCATGAAAATAAAATTGTCAGACGGATCTACTATAATATTATATAAAAAATATTATGATATTGATGAAAAGTCACAAAATCTTGGATTTGTAAGCTGGCAAATTTTACAATGATCATCCTCGGTATATGCAAAAACGAATAAATATTTGACTTTTAAGCCGAGAACATACACGCATGCATACACACACACAAATACACATACACCTATGCAAAGGTACGAGCTATACGGGTTTGGTGATCGCGATAGTGCGTCCTTTGATCATTGGCTCGACCCTCGTCCTCTCATTTCCCAACCCACCCACCTCTCTTCTCTTTCGAAGTTGAGGTAATGGTAGTGGTAGTGGTAGTGGTGGTGTAGTAGTGGTATGGTGATATTTTACTCGTGGAAAAACAATATCGCATATAAATCTTTACAAAACGAAACGTACTAAACGAAACAATATACGGGAAAGCAGCTTTTATGTTATAATCATTGGAAAAGTATGATCCATTTGTCCAACCTAATTGAAATTTGTATCAAACCCTATTGTGTAATCCGCAAGCCAGACAAATATCATACAATACGCGTATGTAAATATTTTTAATATGTACATTCGATCGTATTAACAATAATACAAATAATTATTACTATTGTGTTATTATTATTATTATTACTATTATTTTCTTATTTAAATCCGTTCGTAAAGATTTGTACGCGAGTACGAAATAAAAAACAAAATAAAAAAATATTTTTGATGCGTTTTAACGAGTAAAATAATAGATACGAGAATAAATATATACACACACGCATTTGTCTCAATTTTTTTTTTTATAAAATAAATGATTTTAATAGACTAGAAATATTTTGTATATTATGAAATATACATATTAAATTATTAATTATTAAATCTATTTTATATAAATTTTGATGAAAAATTTAATATCTATATGTTAATTAAATAAATTACATTTATTCTCGATAAATGAAATGAAGAAACGAAATATAAAAAAATAATATAGCACCGGACAATAAGAATGATGACGAGGACAACAATTCGTAACAATAATGACGACATCGAAAACATTGATCGCGTTGCAAGTTCAAGTAAAACGGAGGGTGAATTTTCGTGACTTACATGGGAAGCTGACAGGGGGGTGAGTCTGAGCATTGTGCGCGTTATGGGGGTGCCTCGGGGTCGAGGCTCGTTGTCTACAAAAGCAGAAAACTGCTGTTGTAATCAGACCAGTCATAAACAGGAGCAAGAAAACGAAGGCAGCTGCGAACCAGGTCGTTTGCATGCCCAGGATCGTCGATGCCTCGGAATCTGCAACAAACAATTCATTTTTTTATTTTTTTTTTTTTAATAATAATTATTCATTAATGAAATGTTATTATAAATATACAAAAATGTTTTATGAAAAATGGAGAATTTATCGAAAAACGAAGTTTTTAATTTATATATTTATATATTAATAAAAATATTTATTATATGCAAAACTTAGTAAAAAAAAAAAAAGAAAATGTATATGTATGTAATATATTACACGTATGCACGCGTACGTATATATGTATGTGAATACGTTTTCGTCGTATTGTAAATAAAATTTGAAATGAAATAAAATGAAACGAAATCAATCAAACATCGAATAGAAGAAAATATTTGTTTTCCCTTTTTATTTTTTTAAAATAAATTTGACTAGCAATTTTTCGTAGTTACAAAACAATGGTATTTCGTATTGGAGAAATTTGTATTTCATATTTGTGTAACCCGTATATATTTTCTGACACTTCGTCGAAGATTACAACAAGAGAACAACCATAACGTTCGCGTACGTTCTCGTTCGGTTGGTTTTCGATCAGATTTCAACGATTGAAATCCAATTCTTGCACACGTGTACATACGAATCTAATGAGTTTTACCCGATCGTTACACGAAACGACGAGAGATTTTCGTAGTAATCTCATTTTCCTGGGCATGTAGTATGAACTGGAATACGAGCCAACGTAAATGGAAGGTGAATATCTCTTTCGTATAAAAAAAGGGAAGAAATGTAATTTTTCCGATCGTTCCAAGCAAAACGGGCGGAGGGCTCTTTGCTTGACGCTAATGCACCGAGATAAACGATTAAATTTTTTCTACGAGAATTTAACCGCAATACGGGAAATCGACTTGAACTGAATCTATGTGCATAATGCGTTTACACGTGTTCTTAACAAACAACCTTTACGAGTAAAAAAAATATTAAAAGGGAGAAATTACATGTACTATTTCTTTTTTAAATTATACGTAATTTGTATAAAATTATAATATGTTATTAAAAATTAATGGAAAAAAAATATTCTTCATGCATTTATCGAGATATAATATTATTGTTATTTTCTCTTAAAAATATAATATATATGTCACAGATAAATTTCAAATATTATTATTATTATTATTACATAAATAAAAATTTGCTTTAAATTTTTATTTTTTTTTATTTTTTCTAAAAGAATTAATATAAAAATAAAATATTACAAATACTATTATATAAAATATAATTTGAATAAATTTTAACATAATAGAAAAATGTGTATTTAGTAAATGTATATCAGTATAATGTAACGCATAGATTTAGTTGGTAAAAGGAAATAAATGAAAATGTGTTGAAAAACAAGTATATTGCATTTCATTGATCGATAATAGGATATAGTTTCTTTTATCCTCGGGAAACTATAAACACGCAGGTTAGTTTCGTTATACGAAGAAAGATCGATGATATAACCTAGACGAGAAGGTACAACTGAGTACTATGACACGAACTCACTTCGTGGTATTACATTTTGTAACGATTACGAAACACGAATGATACCGAAGCTTTTTTCCCCTGTATATACGTTAAAGTAACTTTAATGTTTTATGACGTAAACATGTTCGAATCTGGTCGATAAGAAAAAAGTGTAAACAAAGGTAGAAAAATAGAAGAAGAAAAAAAGATTTTTTCCTACATTTTTTTTTTTAATTTTATCCGTGTTATTTTAAAGTTGACAGAATGATATTTCAATGATGTTAGAACAGTTAATAATATGTGTTAGAAAAAATAATGTATTATATTATATTTTACTTATATAAATTGAATTATGAAAAATATACAAATTATTATATATGAGATAACAATTGATTAAAAGAGATGTCAAACATTGAATATAGAACTTTATAACGAAGTTAATTATGAATTTGTAATTTAATTAAATGTTAACATACTACATATACATACAGACATACATATATATGTACGCGTGGGTGTAACATGCAACGTAAAACATAAATTTCTACAATACAGAGATGTCATAATGAATTAAATTAAATAAAATCAAATATTCACATACGGTTGTAGGATATTCGAATTAATGAGATAAATTAAACGATAAGATATTATATTAATTAAAAAAAACTATAAAAAAAGAACAAAATAAAAAAATTAATTTAACAAACTTACTGGCACAGAGAGTGGAGGTTGCTTCATCGGAACCATCGCCACAATGATTGACACCGTCACAAAGTAGATCCGTTTCTATGCAAAATTCGTTTTGAGTACAACGAAAATCCTTGCAGGTGTGTTCTGTAAACAAAAAAAAACAAACAAAAATACAAAACAACGTAGATAATATTTTTCATTTAAAATCATATATTGAATTTTGTGTATGTGTATCTCTCTTCCTCGTTTTAAGGAATGATTGAGTGAAAGAAGTAGTGAGGAAGTAGTGTAGGGTGGGGTAAAAAAAAATGAAGAAAATATTACGGTTTGTCGACAGGTAGGGTAGTTGCTGCTACCCTCATTGAGGGGTCGCACAACCCCTCGAGTCGAGGACTCTCCGTCAGGCGTCGAAGCTTGAATGATAGGCTAGTTTGAAAACGTGCACACTGTACTTTTGGATTAACGTTTTCTATAATACTGATTTTCGATTAGATATATTGAGATAATTTAAATGGATCAAACAATAAGATAACTTATATTCATATCAACCTTTTTCTTTTTTTGGAAAGAGATCATGTTTATAAAATAAATATTAATTCGAAATACAATATTTATGTAAAGAATTTCACATTTACGAATATATATATTTTTATTGAAATAATTAATAAGAAAATAGTTTTCAATAAAAATGATACTCCAATAATATTATTAAAAATAATTGTGAATAAATATATATAAATATATTTGTATATAATAATAACAAATATAACATTAAAATCCTTGTAACTATATTCTTTTGTATCGTTAAATACCATATAATTTAATAAATAATAATTTGCTTCTCTATCTTCTTATTATTTATTAACTACACTATTATCTTCAACTTTTCTCTTTAATTTTATGATCCTTTTTATATTCTTAACTTTTATCGATAATTTATTTAAAATGTCAATACCTTTAGAAGAGAAAAAAATAAAACAGAAAGAGAAAGAGTGTGTGTGTGAGAGAGAGAAAGAGAAAGTCGAGAGAGAAGGGGTGTTAACTTCTCAACTTTACAAGCACGATTCATGCCTACCACCCCCTTTATCTTCACCCTTTTTCCCCTTCTTCTCCCTCTTCCTTTCTTAGCATTATCTGCCAAGGAGCTTATTGCTTACCCCCACCACCGAACCTTCTTTTTATCTCTTTTATCGAAGTTTCGATTTTTTCATCTCTTTCGAAATCTTTCTTTTACTTTCTTCGACTTTTTCTTCCTTTTTTTCATCTTTTTTTTTACATTTGTCATCTTCCTTTTATTCTCTCTCTCTCTCTCTCTTACTTTTTTGTTACTTGTGTCTTATGTAAGTTAAAATTTTCTTTCTTTCTTTCTTTTTTCTCTTCTTCCAATTCAATTAAACATTATCTCCCGGATAATATAACAGTAGTAATAAAATCAATGGAGAGAAATAATAATCGGATCTGATATCGATAGATTGGTTAAATTAAAATGAATGGGGAGTTTAGTGCACATGATTCCCAAGCATAGGATTTAAATTCACAAAATGTTCTCTCAATTACTATTATTATTTAATCTCGAAATTGTTGATAATATTATCATCGTTTCTCTCGTTTTCATCCTTTAGTAAAAGTCGTATATATTTCCAATAAATTTCACACTTCATACATACATACACATACACGTAACGATGAAACTTCGTCATGATACGTGAAATGTATTTATTATGAAAATATGTCAAAAAAAAAAATAGAAAGAGAGAAAATACTTACACATATACAATCTTTCTAAAAATACAATCAAAATGAAAAAGAAACGTTAAAAAAGTTTAATCAGAAAAGAAGACAAAAAAACGAAAGAAGAGAAAGGGGAATAACAAAGGAGGTATGAGAAAAGAATAAAAATACAAAAAAAAAGAATATAAAACTAAAAGAGAAAGAAATACAAAAAAAAGGTTGATGAAAAAGTTAAGCCGAAGTTTAAATAACTGGTAAATAACTTTATAGTGAAAATCTTATCGGATACGTGGTGGGGTTTCTAGTATAATATTATAACGTAGTTTCTTCTTCATTGTACGCTTCCTGTGTTTTTCCTTGCTCTATTTTTCTTTTCATTTTTCCTTTTTTTTTTTTTTTTCATTAACGTCGTGTGTGCAGCAGCTTTCAGAATATATGGAAATCTGGTAGAGATGGAAAAGAGTTAAAAAAAAAAAAAAAAATAATAAAAAAAGAAAAACTAAAAAAATGAGTGTGTGGAGAGAGAGAGAGATGGATACTATGACTGCATCTAGGTGGATGTCCGTAATCAGGATGAAAAAAAAAAAATTAAAAAAGAAAAAGAAAAAGAAAAGAAAAGAAAATAGGAAAAAGGAAAAAAGAAAAGAAAAATTACGGACGAGTATACGCTCGTAATTTTGTCATAACGAGATGTATACATGTACAGTGTGTCCCATTTAAATAAATCTACTTAAATATCTTCGAAATTATAGATGATACATAAAAATGTTTCTTAGACAAAAGTTTTATGATTTAAAGGAAGCATATTAAGTATTTCGATATTATTAGTTTTTGTTTTGTAAATACACTTGTAAAGGTTACACTCTTTGATTTTTGTAACAATGCAATTATATATTTTATAAAGCACCAATTTAGTGCAGGTTTTTAACTCTTATCGATCATAACTCGAAACTTGTTCTTTTAATAAATAATTATTAATTAAATAATTTTAATAATTACATATATTTGTAATACTCTTTAAAAAAAAAAAAAAATAGATCATTTCTAACGATAATGTTATTCTTATGATATTGAAATTTTTTTTATTTACATATTTATCGAAACCAGCTGAAACTTTTAACGAGAATCACGTAAAAAAAAGCTGACGAATGATAAGATAAGATAAATCTCTATATAAAAGTATCGAATTACTTATGACGATGTTGTGTGTTCCTATATAATAAAATACATATATATATTTATAAAAATATGTCTTTCGATTATAATAAGTCCAGTGTAATGACTTTAATTTTTTCTTTTTTTTTTCTTTGTCCATCTTCTATTAAAAACGATCCTTATCAAAAAGTTTCCTCTTCACACTCGTCTTAATCCCCGGATCTGCCCTTTTTAATAACGGATCTCTTTTTGTCACGGAAGTCGGTGCCTTTAAATGTGCTCATTAAGCGTATTCGTTATCACGGTCGGTGATACCGGATATCCGATAAATCGTGCAGCGAACGCGTGTTGGAAAAAAAATCTCGTCGGAGAAAAGAAAAGAATCCCCCCTCCCCAAAAAAAAATGTAAAAAATAAAAGAAGGGTAGTAGAAAATTTTCTACTATTATATATTTCAAGAAAACCTCGGGTAAAAATCCGACGAAATTATTCAACGGACGACACTCGCCTAAGTCGTCTTTTAAATCATCCGTCTCTTTTTTTCCTTTTTTCTTTAATATTATTTTTTCTATTTTTTGTTCAATTTTCTGTTTGATCAAAATTTTAATCATACCAAATTCATCAAGCACAATATTCATTAAAAATGTTTTTTTCATTAATTTAAGAAACATCGTCAAGAATAATTCAACAATATAACGTATTCTTATAAATTATTTCATTTTAAATGAAAATGAATTCTTGAATTTATTTTATAATCAAATTGATAATTTAATCTAATCGTAATATGAAAACATCAATAACATTTTGTTAATTAATTATTAAAACAAGATTGTGATATATGTACCAGACAAAAAAATAATCAAATAAACAAAGTTATTTTTCTCTATAAAAAAGAAGAAGAAGAAAAAGAAAAAAACAAGAAAGCAACAACACATACGATAGATGGCCAATTATTAAATCGTTTAATATAATTAAATAATTTAAATTTTAAAATAATAATTAAAGTTTAAAATAATAAATTAATTTAATTAATTAATAAACTAATGACGAAGTTTCATATATATATATATAATAAGAAAGAAATGAACAATGTCATTTGACTGTTATTAGTACGTAACAGCATAGAATATTATTTAAACTCAAATAATGATCCACTTGTGATCGTATTCCAATACTAATATTATATATATATATATATATATGAATGAGACTCGAACCTTATCGTTAACGTAGAGAGAGAAAACAGAAGCAAATTCGTCGAATAATCAAACTACATGACTACCACTGAAGCATCGGCTAATTTCATTAATTAATAGCTCGTTCACAGAATAATCCTGTCTCATCGATTCGTTCGCATTTAAAACGCATATTTAAAGTAATATTTATCTAGATATAGTAATATGTACATTTATATACACACACGCATACACGCGCACATATATTACTAATAAAAAAATCGAATACACTAATAGATTTAGTTAATAAATCGAATAACTTTTTTAAATAAAACATTTTTCAGCATTCTTTTTAAAATCATACAATGACACTCGTATATATTTTTAATATACTTATAAGTATAAATGACGTAAATTTTAATAAATAATATATATCTATAGTAATACATTAATTTCGTATAACTTACACATTAAATTTCAAACGTTGTTAACACGAAGAAAATACGTTTAACTAGATGTTTATAACAGGACGAGTAAAATAAGACTGATCGTTTCGTAACATCCCGTGTGCTTATCGCCTAGAGCAATACTTGGAAAAAGTATACACACGCACACACGTATAAGTCAAGGACAGCGTAGACCATACGAGTTGTTTATAATACTCGTCATATATATATATATATATATATATATATATATATATATATATACAGAATATACTTTTATTCTCGAAATCTTTGCTTTTTTTTCCTTTTTACAATTTTTAACCGTATTACATATTTTATTTTATTATTTTTTTTTTTGCAAAGCAGTTTATGATAAATAACAAATCAAATTTAACTCATGAATTTATACGTAAAAGTATATTTTCAATTAATAATTTACATAGTTTTCTTTAGTTCATCTTTGACGAATTAAATTATTCTTGTTACTACTTATTCATTAATTAATTTTTTCTCTTTTACGAAATATGTATCATATACGTAGAATTTCAATACTATTTTGATCGATAGTGTATAAGATTTCGTAAATATTATTTATATATTTATAGAAAAAGAAAGAAAACCGAAAAAACTGTGCTTAG